CTGTGAATTTCTGTCTTCTGCTTCTGTAGTTAAAAGATGCTCATGCAATGCACAGGCACACGTTTTTTGCCCATTTTCAACCAGCCAATCGTACTGCCAGAGGGGAGTGGCCTCATTCTTCAAGAAAGCTTTCTATTTCCTATTTACATGGTCCTGTTTTGAGGACAAGAAGAGACATTTCCAGAAGCTGTTGGTGAGAAGAAGGCTACTAAAAACTGTAGTGTGAAGAGTTTATTAAAGACCTTCTTTGCTTTAAGTGTTGTTTGAGTTTCTCATTGTAGCTGAGTCTCTGCTCTTGTCAGGATCTCTGCACTGAAAATGTCTGTAAAATTTAGTGTGACTTGTTTTTTTAATAAAAACTATTCCAAATGATAAAATGATGCAAAATATGTTGTTTTCTTTAACAACGAAGAAAACAACTGAGGAATAGGGTGTGGTGTATGTCCTGTATGAGTAGCCTCTGAAATTGTAAATATAAATTGTAGAACATTTTATAAAGGTATATAAAAAAGTTTTTATTGCACAATGATGAATATAGTATACATCATATTAGAATGGAACCTCATGTATTTGTAGCTTCAGATTTGTCTTAAAATGTTGTTGAAAGAAGTTTTATTACAGATGGAAAGTTAATAGAAAACACATGAAACCTAATTCGTTATAATTAACACTATGGTATCTTCACTAAATTTTAGACTTAGTTTATTTCCAATAAAGCAATAGTTTCCTTTGCTGATTTATATTGTATAGTAATGAAATAGTAGTTTTAAATAGTAATTTTAAAATTAGAAGGTTGAATCTGTTTTTCAAACGGTGATTTCAATACATTTTTCAAGATGTGATTTACTTATTTTTGTTTTTTACTTTACGCCTTTTCTTCTTGGGTTTTTATTTAATTTTGTTCTTTTGTTCAACAATACTTAGCTTGTTTAACTGCAGTTTCTTTTGCCAGGCAGGGAAAAGCTGTGCACAGCAATCTGCCTCTCCAGATGGATAAAATTGCCTTTTATGGAATTTGATGGCTGTGTAAGCAGGAAATGACATCATGATGAGCAGTGTTACTAGACTGAATGAACATGGCTGAGAGTTTCTCGTGGCATTCCAGACACTGTTACTCACTGCTGCTGGAGCATAGCTAATATGTGGTGAATTTCTTAGTGTGAACCAAAAATAGCAAGGACATAAAATATTATGTTTGGAATAAGTTGGTAATAAGTCTTAGAATTGTTAAATGGCTGTGTTTTTTAAGACAAGATTATAGTTATTTTTATGATGGAACGGACTTTTATGGGACTATTTGATTCATGCTAGAGGTGACAGCCCTTTGTGTTTTCTTTCATAGTAGTCATTCTAAATGTTTTGAGCATTATACATCTTAACACAAACTTTCCCTTTATAAATCAGTAGTTTTCATTTATTGTGTTGTAGAATTACAAAAGAAATGTTAATGACAGGTGATCTGTTTTCTATTGTTAAATAGGGGGGGACACAGTGACATGAAGGCTACTGCTTCTGCCTTATAGCTCTTGTGTCCTGGGTTGGATTCCATGAGCCTTCTGTGTGGAGTTTGCAATATCACGCCATGGCTGGGGTTTCTGCCGGCTTTTGCAGTTTCCTCCCACAGTCCAGACACGCTGTTTAGTTATTGGCATCTCCAAGTGTGTGTAACTCGATGCGACGAACATACAGTAACATTTACAAATGAGAGGGGGCCGTACTGCCCATCCAAAAAAATGGACTGTCTTCCCTTCCAGGATGCAATTTGCTATATGCCCGTCTGCCTGGTTAGGCTCCAGTTCACCACAACTCAGTATTTTTTCTAAGTAGTTATTGAAAATGGATAGTTGAATGATGGTTTAATACTGCTAATTTATATAAATACAATTATACTCTGAATCAAAATCTCCTCGAAAAAACTAAATATTATCGGAAATTCTGTTAGCTTTTGAGTCTGGGTTTTCGCGAAGTACAAATTTGTGTGGATCACCCGAGTTTTGGGCTTTTAGATGACGTTAGTGTCGAATGACTTCAGTGTTGCTTATGCAGAGTTAAAGTCTGGATAAGTGGAGCTTTGTGCCTTAATGTGAGGACTTGCACCAGGGGAATGTTGATTAGGAAGGCAAACAGACCGACCCTCCCAAGCACACAGTGCAGTGTGTGTCATTCTCTGGGAGTGGCGTCTCAACATCTGGGGCCTGTTGTGCGCCGAGCTGCCCTGCTCACCCGCCAGCCTGTTGGAAGCAAGCCCATAGTAAAGCTGTCACTCACCCGCATATCAGCAGGTATTGAGAAGCAGAGGTGACGTCTGACTCCGAGAAACAGAAGGGGATCGTATAAGCTGAGTCAAGAGGCAGGCTTTAAAAACTCCCTCTGTGCTGACTGCTTTCAGGATCCATTAGCAGAGTGAGTCGCCCACTTGGTCTGCTGGTTAGGAAGCTTAGCAAGCAGTGAAGACAAATGTCCACCACTTCAGTCCCTCATCGTGTACTCCAGCTCTGAGTGGGGGCTCAGACTCACTAGGAAGTTTACAACAGCTCTGTATTGAGCGTTTGGACGCCTGAAAGTGTGCATACTGTATGGTCAATATCAGATTGGATTTCGCAAAGGCACATTAACTGTTTGTTTACCTTGTTTAAGTATGCTTCGTATTTAAGTAGCAGTAAGCCAGAATTAAGATTCCTCACACCACAGCTGTATTCTGTTCAAATATGAAGGAAAATGAGGAATCAGACTCAGATCAGTTTAACAGGTGCTGTAAAAGACCACACCTTACATCATTATTTTTGTTTTCTCTGGGGTCTTTTTTGGAGTCTTTTATATCCTATTCAAGGTCTTATTGCATCTCTCTGGAGTTTTGCTAATTAATATATTCAGGCTTTGGAGGCGAGGGCCTATATTACCTTATATGCTATCTTTGAATGAGGAATTTTGTAAGGTATTTGATATTATTGTTTTACAGACTGAGAAGCGTTCTATCTGTTCAGTGTGGTTGAATATCTCTGGCATGGTGGCACAGTGGCTCGCATTGCTGCCTAGCATTGCTGGGGTCCTGGGTTCATTTCCAGACCTGACGTGCCATGTTCTGTGTGGGCTTCCACTGGGTGTTCAGAATTCTCCTCACATTCCAAAAACTTACAGGCAGGGTATTGAGCATTTCATTGCACTTATGCATATGACAATAAACTGAACTGAATAAGGTTCTGGGAAAATTGGCCCTGGCGTGAGTGTGTGCGTGTCTGTGTCCGGGTATCCACCCCACATTGTACACAGTGTACACGGTCTTCTATCCATTGTTTGCCAGGATAGGCTCCAGCTCACCTGCGATTGTGAGTTGAAAGAAATGGTTGGAAGATGGATGGATGACCAACTCTGCTGTTCCTTGATTTAAAGTTCTCATAAAGATGAGTGGTTTTGTTTGCTGTAAGAGCACTAGCAAATTTTAAGCATTCATAGATTCAGCTTTTTCAGCGTGGTTTTTCTTGAAATCCTGGAGATTTTTTTAAGAAAGCGGTACCTTTTGGAGCTTTTTAATCTTGTGAAGATCCGCGTTTGTACTTTCTGTGAACCCCACATTTTTTAACAGCTGCAGTGGTGAGCCAGGCTTGACAAAGGGGAGTTTCACCTCATTTGCAGCTTTAAACAGCTTTGAAAACTGTTAAGTTTGCAATCTCTCCAAAAAAGTCTTGGGTTTTTCTTAGGGGTCAGGAGTTCAGCATCTTGGCTTGTATCATGTTTTGTAGAAAAGGGAGGTATTATAAATAGAATGTTAGAGGGGATGTTTTCTTCGTCTTTTGTTGAATTTGAAATTCTGAACATAAAACATCTGCCTATGTTTCAAGTTTTTTTTAATTCAGTATATAATGAAGTATTGAAAATCCAATAAAGTATATAGGTATATAATTTGCGATTAATTTAGGATTTTTTCTCTTTTTCTGCCTCCAACATTTTTTTGTGCTCTGCAGTGACATTCTTCAATAAAAGTAAAGTAATGTCATGTTAGAGCAATGTTATAGCACTTTAGCAAATGTTCTTTAATGAGGGTAATATAGTGGATGTCTGCTCTATATGCCTTACGCAGACATAACTTGAAAAAGCCAATAAACCTGACTAGTAAAAAGTTATGAACAGCAAAATTTTTTAATTGGTTTGTTTATCATATACAAATATTTTTTTTTACATCAACTAAGGCACGTTCCTTTGCATTTATTGCCTGTAAAATTAACATAAATATCCAGTCCATTTCTGTCTTTTTCTGCTATTTCTGCTATTTCTCAGTGTTTGTCTTCAGGATATTTAATAATGAATCCTAAGGGAATTATGGCATCTTTGTGGCATCATTTCCTGTCAGTATGTATAGTACTATGTGCTGGAGTAAACAAAAGGTTGTGCAATATGTAGACTACATCGGTCCATAGAACAACTGCACTCAAAAATTATCAGAATGTCCTTGGTGGGTTAATTCGATTTGCCAAGTACGAACTGTGTATTGGAGAAACTTTTTTCTTTCATTAGCCAATTAAAATGTATGATTGTGTTATGCTAAATGACATCAGATAACTGGAGTATTCTTAGGAATGTTGAAAGGTAGCTTGTATCATGTTGCAATATACAAGAAGGTCTGTTTCCTCTATGACTAAGCTGCAGTAGAGCTGAATATTGGTGCAAAACAAATTAATTGGAAATGTAAGCATTAAAATTTATCATAATTAAAATACAAATTATTGCACAACATGTTCTGATTTGGTGATCAGGTGATCATCAAACATGATCCATTTCTAAGAAAAACAGGCTGTGCCTCATTTTCATAACTAAATTTCATTTTTTGATCTGCATTAGTATATAGCAGTTTAATCCCATACAGTATACTGTTTGGTGCATTGTGCTGCATTTGTAAATGTTATCAAAAGAAGAGCTTTGCTGATTGCAGAGGTAGTCATGTACAGAAGATTTATTTTCTGACTTAAGGCATTTTCTTATGGGCTTTTCTTTTTTCCCCACAGCTACAAGTTAAGAAAACTCTTAAGAAAACTGGTATCGAACAGTGAAAATATCTCCCATTCAGAACTGTTTCTATTAGGTAAGTTATTGAAGCTGCTGTGATGTTGTGCATAATCTTGTCATTGTTAAAACTCTTTGTCAACATAAATAACAGTTTACTGTCCTCTGTACAAATGTATTTATTACAGTGGTTTACTGTATAAAACACCCTTAAAAGGGTTTGTTTGCATTGTATGTCACTTTTTTAAATCTCACTGCAGTTTCTATTAAAGAAAGTAATCCCCACTTGTTGGACAAATGTAAAAAAAAAAATGTGCCCTTAAGTATTTACTGAGTCATCGGATGAATGTTGGTGTGGAGAAACACCCAATTTTGAAATGGTTGTGAAGGATGTGACCATTTCATTAACAATGCTTTTTCATCTGTGCAGAAATTCTCTCTTGCAAAACTACTTTACTTGGTTGCCAAACCTAATGGGAGGTGTCAGTGTACAGTCTGAGCTTCCAGCCCTGGTCCAGGAGAACCTCAGTCCAGTTAGTCTTGTAGGTCACCAGTTTTTAAAGAAGGGCTAAAAGTAGAAGATATTAACTGACCTGCAAGTAATTTGGTCAATAAAAAGAACTCAGGTACTTGATGACTGAAGGCTAGTTTGATTTTAGTCCTTAATCATTGTAAGTTATTTTAACAAATCACTGATCACAAGGGAATTGATATCTTTTGAAAATTGTGTTTTAATAGTTGATTTCTTCTGGCAAACAAATCCAGTCTTTCCCATGCAACATCCTATTGCACTTCCAAGCTCTTTGCCTAATTTCTTTTTTCGCTTACTTAATGTAACTGGCTGTAGTCATCTGTGGTATCTGTTCAGGACAAGATGAGACAAGCTCAGACAAGATAGCTGTAAAAGTCTAATAGTACAATGAGGATACCTGTATGTCACAAAGTGGACAGGAACTCAAACCATTTAATCTACCACTCTAATCCCAATTTATCAAAGTCCATTCAATGTACGGTAGCAGTTTTACAGGCTTTCAGGTCTTACTGTATTGAAAGTGCATCCTGTGAGCATTCTTTACACTTTAATCTGTATCATGTTGGATATTATCTTTTATTAAAAGTGTTACAGTAGGTGTTTGCAGGTACTGTATATCTGCACAGCTGTCATACATACAACTTTCTACATGATTGAGTTTTGAAATACAGACAAAAATATATTCTGTATGGAGCATTGCGTGTTCTGTTGACTTTTACCTTTTAGTTGATAAGACTGTTGTTTTCATTTTGATTTGTGGAAAAAATGTTTCAAAAGCTGAGACAACTCTACCTGAAGATAGACCACATATCTGGTTTCAATTAAAGTGCTGTGAGGTTCAGGAGACATCACATCTAACAGGCTTTAGTGTGTTCGTTTTCTGACACACTGCAATAATAAGTCTTGCTTTAGTCTGAGAACATTTCTCTGTGTAATTTCTTTTCTAGAACCTACTTGGCGCCGTTTCATTTGTTGTTGTTTCAACTTTCCTGAAGCGATAAGAGAAAGCTGTATGAAACATCCTGATGAATCATTGTCATTATTTTGATATTTTTTGTTAATTGTTGTGAATTGCAAGAATTGGATTGTAATTAAAAGGGGTTTTTTGTTACTTATTAAGTTTTAATGTATTTTGAAAATACAGGAAAAAATACTTGTATCTTGTAATCCCTTATAAATGGCATCCCTGATAAACCTAACAAAAATAAATGTAAATAATTCAGATTCTGCATATTCTTGCTGATCTCATTTTGATATTTTTTGGAGGTCCATAAATCAGATCTTAACAAATAGTATGTTTTAGGCTATAACTTTGCTGGTCTTTAGCAGCAATAATCCAATTGCCGTGGGAATGAGGTGAAGGCCAGTTGCAATGGTTAGTGCTTCATACATTAATGTCCACGCCTGTTCTGATGCAATACTGTAAATCAACAGTTATTGAAGGGTGCTGCTCTAACACCATGGAAATCTCATCAATGATTTGTATTAACTCCCTGGGAACATTATTTATTATCTCCAGCACTAATATTCCAATACGCTTAACATTCACATTTTACCAATTAAATGCCCAGCAATTTTGACAACTGCATCACATTTTTCATGCCATTAGTTCCTGTCCTTAACGTTATAACACTTAATGTCTATTATTATGTCAGTCTGAACGGTTCTTTATAATAATAATAATTAATAATAATAATAATCACTTAAACTTATATAGCGCTTTTCTGGACACTCAACTCAAAGCGCTTTACAGGTAATGGGGACTCCCTTCCACCACCAATGTGCAGCATCCACCGGTGATGCATCCACAGGTGATGCGACGGCAGCCATAGTGCACCAGAACGCTCACCACACATCAGCTATCAGTGGGGGAGGAGAGCAGAGTAATGTAGCCAATTATTAGGCCGATTATTAGGAGGCCATGATTGGTAAGGGCCAATAGGAAATTTTGGCCAGGATGCCAGGGTTATACCCCTACTATTTTTGAGAAATGCCCTACGATTTTTAATGACCACAGAGAATCGGGACCTCGGTTTTTACGTCTCATCCGAAAGACAGCGCCTGTTTTACAGTATAGTGTCACTATACTAGGGCATTAGGACCCACATGGACCGCAGGGTGAGCGCCCCCTGCTGGCCCCACTAACAACTCTTCCAGCAGCAACCTTAGTTTTTCCCAGGAGGTCTCCCATCCAGGTACTGACCAGGCTCACACCTGCTTAGCTTCAGTGCGGTGCCAGATGTGAGTTGCAGGGGATATGGCTGCTGGAAAGTAACAGAAGATTGTATTTTACTCAGGATTATTCCTTGTATTAATGTAGTGCTTTTCTACACAAAGGATCTCAAACTGATTTATATGATTTATATATAAAGTATGATGGGAGTTCATTTGCCAGTGAAATGCAGTTCCCACATGGGTGTTGGGTGGCTGTCATTATGTACCAGCAGCCCAGCATACAGCAGATCAGTTGAGAAGCGAGAAATTGTTTCACCATTTGAATTAAGTGGGAACTTTAGCGAGGTCAGATTGTTGAAGCCCAGGTGGATTTGATACCTGGGTAACACCCCTTCACTTTCAAATATCTTCAGTGACCAAGTGGTCAGGACCTTGGTTTGCCTTGTCATCTGAAGGGCAGCACCTCCTACAGCACATTGTTTCCATACACCATACTGGGACATTGGTTTGGAAATGCCAGTCTAGAGGCAAGAGTTACACCTCCTGTTTCACCAAATACCATTTTCAGCAGCAACCTGCTTTTCCTTGGAGGTCCCACCTACCAGTATTCACCAGCCTTCTGAAATGCTGGTCTAACTTTCAGATCTATTCTAAGATCTCACCCCATTCTGTGGTTTTGTTTGTTGTTTTTATAAAATGTGTCTTTTTATATTTGTATTTATTTCAGAAGGCATTAATCAGCTAAGTATTAAGGACAGATTGAACAGGTTAAAAAGCCTTCTCCATATTAATTTGGTACAGACAGTAAATCAGTGTACCATGGTGTCGTGAGCCTAAAATTCCACCAAACAGAGCCTTGAGCAAATATAACAAGTGCAGAAAGGAGTAATATCAAATAATGAATTCCTGCAATTTCAATTCAAGTGAACATTCACTTACAACGGTTTCAGCCTTACAACTTTGGGAGCAGTGTCATTATCTTGCAATTCCATTTTGTTTTGGAAAAATACAATGTTCCCTCTTGGCATGTGCTCAGGTCTAAACAATAGAAAAGGCAGCATTTATTTCAGGGTTGATCCATCCTGTGACATGTTTGATTAAGCTCCAAAGGCATCTGTGTGCCCTGCATATACTGTAGATCTAGTAATCATTTGATGAAATCTTACTTTTATTCTTCCTTGTTCTTGTGAGAAAAACATGGTGTGCCGTGGTAGAATTATCTGGCTCTCAATCACATCATAGATAGGAGCAAACAGAGCTGCCAGTCTCACCATGTATCTTTAAAACTTTTAGTATTCTTGCCCACTTTCATGGCATCCACTGGATAAGGCAGCAGGTTAACAGTAAGGCCTGTAGAGGCTGTGGCCCAAGGATTGAGAAACACATTTTCTCCAGAAGCACATCTGAGTCCTTTTGGGAACAGTCAAACAACTACATTTAACAGCAGCAAGAGCAATAACATAATAATACGTTTGACACTATTCTCTGAATTCTTGTATTTAGTTAGTGTTTCCTAGAGCTGAGTTGTACTGAGCTGTGGACAGAGCCCAGTGCTACAAAAGCTGAAAGCACAAGCAGAACATTTTGATGAACAGTCATTGAATAAGATGCTTGTCATAATAAATCACTTTTTCATTTTCTCTGCGCTATTTTTGTCGAGTCAGCACCTGTTCCTGCATAATTTGTAAGCTACAGTGCTCTATAAAAGTATTTGGATAGCAAAGTGAATACTGTTACTTTTGCTTTACAGTCAAGCAACCTGTGATCATAAGATTAATTTGAATGATAAGTATAATATACATATTATTTGTTGATAATTTCCTGCCTATTTTGAATCATATTGGAATAGAAACATACTTTGTGTTCAGCCAAGTGATATTAAGTGACCGTAAAGTACCTGTTAACATTAAGTAGGTACTGTAGCTGCGTCAGCATGCGTAGGCTACAGACGAACAAGTTAAGATTTATTCCATGCTGAAAAGAAAAGAGACGCAGCCGAAACATTGTGTTTTTTTTTCTTGTCGGCATGGAATAAACCTTTACTTGTTCCTTTGCATGTTAAGTTTAAGTAGTAGGAGTCCATTATGTCTGCTGCTAGTAAAAATTCAGTCATCTTTAGATTTTATATATATACCTGTCTGAGTTACAGTTGTATGACTATATTATGATTTCATAAAAGTAAACATTCTAGTTTGTTTAAATGTGCAACTAAGAATTGTAAAAGAAGGCCGAGATCCATGTGTTTTAGTTAAGCATTGATTGTGTAAATTGTCTTATTGTATTTTGGTGTGCTTTGACTTGTATCTGCAGTATGGTACATCGCAGTGTGGATGAGATTGTGGACCTTGTTTTCAGACTTTGTACTTGACCTG